GGAAGGAAGGAAGGAAGGAAGGAAGGAAGGAGGGAGGGAGGGAGGGAGGGAGGGAGGGAGACTGACTCACATGTAAGCCCTTAATTTTCTAATCTAATTAAATAAAACAGGGCAATTGCTTCAGGACATAGTACTGGGCAAAGAATTTTTGATATGACCCTAAGTGCACAGGCAACAAAAATAAAAACTTACAAATGGATTACATTAAAGTAAAAAGCTTCTGTGTAGCAGAGGAAACAATCAACAGAGCAGTAGATGATATCTGTAAGCTATACATTTGACAAGTGGTTAAAATCCAGAATAGATAAAGAACTCAAAAAATAGCAAAAATAAAACAAAACAAAAACAAAAACAAACAAACCAAAAAAATAACTCAATTAAAAAGTGGGCTAAATATTTGAATAGACATTTCTCAAAAGAAGATATACAAATTACTACCAGATATATGAAGAAAAACCTCAATATCATTAATCATCAGGCAAATATAAATGAAAACCACACCTTACCCCAGTTAAAAAGGTCATTATCCAAAAGGGAAAAAATAGCAAATACTAGTAAAGATGTGGAGAAAGAAGAACTGTTAGAACACTGTTGGTAGAAATGTAAATTAGTACAGCCATGTGAAAGCAGTATGGAGGTTCTTCAATAAACTAAAAATGGATGACAGAATCCAGTCATTTCATTATTGGGTATAGCCCCAAAGGAAACACAAACAACATGTCAAAAAGATATCTGCACTCGCATGTTTATAGCAGTACTATTTACAAGAGCCAGGGTATGGAATCAACGTCCATCAATGGATGCATGCATTATATATATATATATATATATATATACACACATACATATACACACACACTATTCAACCATAAAACCATGGAATCCTGCCATTCTCAACAGCATGGATGAACCTGAAGGAATGTTAAGTGAAATAAGTCAGGCACAGAAAGGCAAACATGGGATGATCTCACTAGTAAGTGAAATCTAAAAAAACTGAGCTCGTAGAAGTCAATTAGAACCAGGTGCAGTGGTGCACACCTGTAATCCCAGTGGCTCCGGAGGCTGAGGAAGGAGAATCCCAAGTTCAAAGCTAGCCTCAGCAAAAATGAAGCACTAAGCAACTCAGTGAGACCCTGTCCCTAAATAAAATACAAAATAGGACTCAGGGTGTGGCTCAGTGGTCAAACCCGGATGAGTTCAATCCCCAGTACCCCTCCCCTGCAAAATTGAAGTCCATAGTAGTTACCAGGGACTGGGGAGAATAAAAGGAAAGAGGCTTGGGGAGAAGTCAGTCGTTGGGTACAGTGTTTTAGTCTGGTAGGAGGAATAAGTTCGGGTGTTCTATGGCACAGAAAGGTGAATATAATTAACAATAAAGCATTATGCATCTCAATATTGTTAGAGAAAATTTGAACATGCTCGCCATAAAGCGATGATACAACTTTAAGGTATAGATATGCTGAGTTGATCACTACCCAATGTATACAAAATGAATCAAAACATCACACTGTAACTCAAAAATATATAAAAATACGTGTTAAAATATTTCCTTTACAGAAGTGGTATGAAGAGTGGCATTTTGACTTTATTTCATTTAGCTCCTGATCTAATCTATATCATGTTTTTATCTGTGGAATCTGGACATGGTGGTCTTTCTAGAGGATGGCATTTTGATGTGGTGAGGTCCCCAATCCTTGGTGTCCTGTATGGGGCTCTGTGTGTTCATGGCCAATTCTGGGGTCTTCTTCCTTTTTGGGCTGCTTCTTAAATTATAATTGGCAGATATGATGTGTCAGCAATCCTTCTAGTTCAAATGGTCATTCTTTGTGTATCTTGGCCAAAACATTGCTATTACAATATGACTTGTTTGTTTGGTACTGGGGATTGAACCAAAGGCTTCTTTCATCCTGACAAGCACTTTACCACTAAACTATAGACTCAACATTTTAAAAAATATTTATTTTAAGACAGGCTATCTTGCTAAATTGCCCAGGTTGGCCTCAGACTAGCAATCCTCTTGCATCAGCCTCTGGAGTAGCTGGGATTACAGGTATATACCACTGCATGGGGACACAAAGTGATTTTTGAAGATTAAATGATCCAATCAGATGGAAAATGTCTGGTGCAGAAGACCCACTGAAAGCCACTTTAATTTTATGGTGTTGATTATATGCTTATTATATATTGAAGTAGCAGTGCTGTGAAATCAAGCTACTCAAACCTTTCAAAAACATATTTTGGATTAATAGATGATTGATGTTTGCTAACAGTATAGAAACTTCTAGAATATTGCCCATAGTACATAACTTTGTAGTTTTCATCACTGTTATTTTGAATTTCATTTTAGATATACAGAATTCTCTTTTACTCTTCGTATTTATTTGGTCTATAGTGAGCATTGAGCGGAAAGTGCACACTATACATGCTTTGAAATATACTGGATCCTTAACATTTCCAAAAAATTCATGTTAATGAAAAATAACATATTTAAAGAAATTCTGTGAATCTTAAAGGTTTTTTCATATCTGCAAGTTTCTAGACACTTTTAAATATTTGCAGGGTTGAATAACTGGAGTCTATTTCTTCCCCAGGGAAGAGCAGGCAATGCAGGCTAGGACTACAGGACCCTGACGGGAATGGATATTCAAGGAAACTGAGGAGGGGCACAGCCAGGGGGCTTTCCTCTGTTGTGTTCAGGCAGTTTCTTTCCATTACGGGGTTACGGGGTAGATTCCCATCAATTGTCTATCTGGTATCTTCTGGTAAAAGTCACTGAGAGAATGTTTGTTTCTTCTGCTTGTATGAGGATGACTTTAACAGAAGGGCTATCATTTTTTTTTTTTTTTTTTTTGCCTTGTGGTACTGGGGATTGAGCCCAGCCCTCTGAGCTCCAGGCCCTTCCCTTTTAAAGTTTATTTTGAAACAGGGTCTTGCTAAGTTGCCCAGATGGACCTAGAACTTGTGATCTTCCTGCCTCAGCCTCTGAATTATCTGAGATAATAGGTGTATCCTATTGTGCCTGGTGGGATATTCTTATAATTTTGTCAATTTCATAGGCTGAAGCCATGTTGAAATCAATTATAGTTTTCAACTTTAATTGTTTTAGTTGGAATGACAATTAAAACAGGAATTTATCAGTACTTAGCGTCTTATGTTTGTTCTCATTTCTACCAGCAGGCCAAAGTGTACTGAAGATAGACAACATTTACCGAAAGTGCAAAGGGCACACAAGTTTGTTGACAAGAACCCACTATATTTATAGAATCACTGGAGTCTAAGCTTCCAGTTGCATTTGTGCAGCTTACCGATGGCTCTCTTCATTGTCTTGGTGGTTTGTCTTTCTTGTTTGATTCTTTTTTCTCTGTGGAATCGAAGGCATGCCAAAGGGAAGCTCCCACCTGGCCCCACTCCTCTTCCAATCATTGGAAATATTCTACAGTTAGATATTAAGAATATTGCCAAATCCTTAAGCATTGTAAGTATGATTGATTCTCTTTCAATTTCGTTGCAACGAGTGAATAACATAGCCTTAGAGCTAAATAAAATATGGTCTTGGGTGCCATGTTTTAAAGGGAAGTATCCACTGGCTACCTGGATATAATTTTTTGAATGTATATACTAGAAGAAAATAGGATCTATGAGGTGACTGTTGAAATTGTCAAAAGCAGGAATTCTCTATCTTTATTGTGACCTAGGTCTCTATTTTAGTATTTATTCTTTGATGAGTTCTAATGGGAACGAAACTGTTTTCAATTTTAGCAAAATCTACTGACTTACAGAGCTCCAACACTAAATTTTCCTGAAGCACATATTAACTTGAAGTCAAAGAAGTGACTAAGGGCTCAGGAATTCTGACAATTCCTATTACATTTACCAACTTAAGAAATCAACAACTTTCTGCCCCAAGTTTACATAGTGATACCTCTCCAAAGGAATTATCTGAAACTTATCTTTTCCCAGAGATAGCTCCCTTGCTGTAGCATTGCCCTAGAAGCTCCTTCTTCCTGTGCCTTGGGTTCTGATCAAGATTGTGTCAGCATCTGTTTTACCCATTTGTTAATTCACGGCTTTAGGCAGGTTTTAAGATTTCTCTGAGCTTTGAGCTCCATTTCCTTAAGATGTAAATAATAATGATTTTGCATGGGTTATCTGAGTATATCATACACTCAGCAATAATTAATGACTACTTTGCATTAGGCACCATTGTAGTTGAATACAGGGGATTTTTAATGGTAAATGAAAATTTTAAAAGCGTTGCATTATAGAATTTGCAGTCTGGAGAGTAGGCAGATACTATGACTAGTTTGCCAAGTTTTCCCGTATTAGTAAAATGTACAGATCTTTGGTGCTAAAAGGATGATATTGAGAATGAATAACAAGGATGATTATCAGTGTAAACATGTATACATGGGGCAATTTGGAGGAACTTTTTTAAACAGTAAGAGAAATAATTTTATTATAAGTATAGTCAGGAAGGTTGAAATTGATGCAATTCTAGGTTTGCAGGAAAAGTTTATTAAGTCATATAAACAGATGCATAATATAGTCTCTGTCACATAATTGGAGCTGAATAATAACAATAGCAATCTTACTAATAGTATCATGATAAGTACCATTTAAATGTATTTTCTTATTAAATTAATGGTTCTAAAAGTTGAATTCCTTCATAATTCCTTTATAATGGTACTAATGAGACTGTACAAATAAAAATATTTCTTTTAGTTCTTTACATTTAAGTATTGAAATTCTCACTTTTCTGCATCTCCTGCTTCTTTTCCAGCTAGCAAAAGATTATGGCCCTGTATTTACTGTGCACTTTGGCATGAAGCCCACTGTGGTATTATATGGATATGAAGCTGTAAAGGAAGCTCTGATTGATCGGGCAGAGGAGTTTTCTGGCAGAGGCAGTTACCCAGTGATTGACCACATTTTCCAAGGATTAGGTATGATTGTTTTTGGGGGGAATGTCCTTGGGTTGATAAGTTGCAAGAATCCAAACAGGTGAAGAAATTGAGAAATTAGAAGCACTTGAGAAAATTTTATGAAATACACATTTCATAATTCTAAATGAAGCCTATGAATAAATTGTTTTAAAGTTTTATTAAATTTTGAATCAACATATATTAATTGTACATAATAATGGGTTTTGGTGTGGTATTTCAAAATATGCATGCAATCTGGACTGATGAAATCCATCCTTCTTTTATCCACCTCCTCTGCTCCTTCCTGACCTCTAATAATCTCTAATAAATAAATTTTCTCTAAGGTGTTGTTATCTCATTTCCAAAATTTATGAATGTGACATAATGTCCTCATGAAACTTTAAATTCAGTGAAAGTAAACCATCTGACCACTAATGCTCTATGAATTTGTGCTTAAGACACTTTTAATTTAATTATGGCCAGTTGATATTACGAGCAAGTGACTGAAAGAGAGCAGGGGAGGTAATGACTATAGCATTCTATTCACCAAATATTTTGCTTCTTGGACTGAAGCATGGATCTATGAGGCTCTGTTAGAAGCCTGGTTAGTATTCATGGAATCATTGCGGGTTTGGACTATTTCCAGACCTGCTTTAATCTATTATTCTTCTAAAAAACCTAAGAAGTATTCAAATCCAATAGAATACAAAGCATAAAGCACAGATATGCTCTGATAAAAGGATCAAGGAGAAATGCATAGGGATTATACATTGGATTGAAATTATAAAAGCTTTTTTAAAAACTTAAGTACAGATGCTCCTTGATTTATGATGTGGTTATATCCCTATAAACTCATCTAAGCTGAAAATATTCTAAGTTAAAATACATTTTGTACACTAACATCATAGTCTAGCATCAACCATTTACCTCCATGATTGCAAGGCTGACTGGGAGCCCTGGCCAACTGGGGCTGCTAAGGATCAGCACTGCATGTCAATAGCCTGAGAAAAAATTAAAGATTCAAAATTTGAAGTGTGATTTCTACTGAATATGTGTCCATTTTGCACTATTATAAAGTAAAAAAAATCAGAGATTAAAACACTGTTAAATTGGGGACTGTCTATAGTTGACCTGTCCAGTTTGGGAGCTGACTTTAAATTATTTAGCTTTCTGGTGGATCACTGGGTTCTGGAACACACAGATAAATGATCCTTTTCTTCTCTACATTGTGTGCTAAGAGCTTCCTATGCAAATTGCCTATAATTTTGTCCCCCTTTCCCTTCTCCTCTGTATCTTGTCTTAAGTTTGGAAGTCTGATTTTGAACTTACTGATGCTAAGACCACATTACGTGAAAGAGATTAAACAAGTAGAGGTGGGTATTAAGATGCGAAGAGCTATCTTAATAGTCCATGACTATTTCCTTTTTGTGAGGAATAGATTATAAGGAGATTCCTTTAAATGCAGAAGAGTTGTCTCACATTCTCTTGAGAATTGCCACCTCTTGATGATTCTCCTAAAATTCACTTACAATCATAAAAGTCATGCCTGAAGAGTCTTATGTTTTGTACTCACTCTGTTTTATTTATTTATTTATTTATTTAAATATTTATTTTTTAGTATTCGGTGGACACAACATCTTTGTTTGTATGTGGTGCTGAGGATTGAACACAGGCCGCACGCATGCCAGGCGAGCGCTCTACCGCTTGAGCCACATCCCCAGCCCTCACTATGATTTATTAACTGTGTGATCATAACAGCAAGCATTTTATTCCCATAATCATCAACATTCTTTCCAGTATAATGGGGACAGAACACTGATTCACAGAATTGTTCTGAGATTTTGAGGAGCTGATGGGTGAAGAAGAGCTTAATAATATGTAAGATCAAGTGTCTTGACAGTCAAATACTAGGTTAGGTGACAAGAGGTGGCAGGTGAGGTGGGGCTTAATGGGAATTTCTGAAGCTGCCACCACTATATTTACATTCCTGGTTATGTGTCACTGTCATTTCCTGAGATGAGTGAGATGAGTACTCCGGTAGAACTCAAGACCGTGGAGGATATTCATCTGTGCTCTTTTTCCTTTTGTCTTGATAGGAATTGTTTTCAGCAATGGTGAAATATGGAAGCAAACTCGACGTTTCTCCCTCACGGTTTTGCGGAATATGGGGATGGGGAAGAAAACCATAGAAGACCGAATTAAAGAGGAAGCCTTGTGTCTGATAGATGAATTAAAAAAAACCAACGGTGTGTATAATTATTTGTATAATTAACAGTAATAAGGTAGACTAATTGCTATTACAAGTAGAATTTTAGATAAAGATATGGAGTACCAAGTAAACTAGAAATTTACTTTTTGCTCAGGTGACAGTAGTAAGAAGTGGAGTGGTGAGGGGCATAGCCACTTTTAGGGTTGACAGGTCTTTAATATCATTACCCTTTGGCTTTCAATGTCAAGCAATATTCATCTCTTTGGTAGTGGAAGGAGAAAAGACCAAGGAAAACAGTAAATAACATTTAGGTCCTGCATGGATGTGTCACAGAAAATTTCTTCCTATTCCATGGGCTCTATCTTGGTAACAAACAGGGTCACACCTAACTGTGAGATAAACTGAAAAATGTGATTAATTATGTCCAGAGGAAGAAGATGAGAACATGCATTTTGGGAATTAACTAGCAGTCTTGGCCATACTAACTTTAAATCTAAGTAACTTTTCTAGTAACTTCTTAAGAAACGTTACAGAGTCCACCCAATTCTTTCAATGTGCATGGTGCGATTTGTCTCATATGGAAGAGTGTAGGAGAGAAGGGGGAAGCAGCCACTGTACAAATCTCAGTGTATGGATGTGTGTATGCACCTACAGGCCTGGGGGACAGGGGAAAGGAGGAGAAAGAGTGGGCAGGAGATCAGGCAGTAAGGGGTAAGGTCAGGATCATAAGGCATAGGTTGTTTTAGAACCTTATTATTTAAATATTTTAAAGCACATTATTAAATTAATAATACTTTATTCCTATGGTGAATCGCTGTTGTGTTTATTTATATAAATCTAGTTTCATTCTTAGAATAAATTTTTGGAAATGGATTAAGAGTGCCAATGAACATTTTTTGATACCTATTATGCAGGAAGGAAAGGAATGAGAATAGGGGCATATACTGTGCATATTGTTCTGTAAACTTATTTTAGATATAATATATCGAGTTGATAGTCTTGTATATTTGATTTTAAAGTACTCTCAAGACATTAACTGAATTCTCTTATTTCCAATGTACCATAATTTAATTAGCCAGCCTTCTACTTTTGGTCAGATGAGTTATTGCTGGTCTTTGGTGCTATTAATCCAAAAAAATTAAATTTATACAAAACATTGCAGATCTTTGACTATTTCCTTAGAATAAAATTTTGGAAATGGAATTAGCAAAATAACTTGGTTTTTAATACATATTAAATAGGAAGTGACTTTTTTTATACTTCATTTGCATTTCTTTTCTTTGTCTTTTGTCCTACTGAGAATGGAGTGCAGGGGTGCTTTGTCACTGAGCTACATCCCTAGCCCATTTTACTCTTTTATTTTGAGATTGTGTCTCCTTAAGTTGCATGAACTGGCCTTGAACTTGTGATTCTCCTTCTTCAGCCTCTGAAGTAGCTGGGATTTACAGGCGGGTACCACCATGACTGGACTTACTTTGTATTTCAAATAGAATTTACATTGATGGGTTCCACTTTCCTATGGTGACCATGACCTTTTCTCAGCTTTCAGACCTATGGTGACTGGCATTCTGCCTCATTCCACCTACTATTGGGGACCTCAGACTCTTGGGGACACCCATTTCAACATCGGATGATGCTAACTGTTGGAAATGTCTTCCATAGATTGAGAAAAAACAGTGTGTCTTTGAAACTTCTACTTTTCGATTGAGCTAATTGTTTCCTTGTGGCGTTATAGGGCTGTGTTGTCACTGCACAGAGGCAGGGTGCAGACTAATGCTGTGACACAGGCTGATAGGATATGAAAGTTTTATTATTATATCATGGTGCTTTCTGGGAAGACAGTGATTCCCAAGCAGTTCTGAAAATGGTGTGAGAAAGAAGGTAAGTGATACTGGCTTGAGGGTTTCATGATGTTTTTTTTGGAGCTGTGGCCAGGATGGGGTCCCTGTGCAGGGCAGGACTTGCATGGATTAAACTTTCTGCTTGTGCCAAAGGAGTGAGCACTTGGGATTTTTAATCCGCTTGTATAGATGTGGGTAGAAGAGGAAGACAAAGGAATAAAACTTAATAGCTATGGACTATCAAACATTAAAAAAAATGGAGATTGCTGGGTGTGGTGGTGCGTGGTGCATGTCTGTAATCCCAGTGGCTCAGAAGGCTGAGACAGGAGGACTGGAAGTTCAAGGTCAGCCTCAGCAATTTAGCAAGGCCCTATGCAACTTAGTGAGACCCTGCCTCAAAATAAAAAAAATAAAAAGTGCTGGGGATGTGGCTCAGTGGTTAAGCACCCCTGGCTTAATCCCTCAGTACAAAAAAAAAAAAAAAGAAAAAAAAAAAGAAGTTGTATTCTTTATTATGTAGGAAACCTGCTTTCAAAATTATAGTGGATTTTTTTCAAATATCTGAGTATGACTGAATTTATTTCTTATTACTCTCTCTTCTATAAGAAAATTATACTTGGATTTCCAAGGAGTGTTGTGTTAAATACAATTTCAAGTTCCCTCTTTTTTTTTAAACTTAATATTTTTTTTTGTATTTTTTGCTTTTTAGTTGTAGATGGACATAATACCTTGTTTTATTTATTTATTTTAATGTGGTGCTGAGGATCAAACCCAATACCTCACATGTGCTAGGCAAGCACAGTTTTCTACAGGCAGCATGAGAAAGTGTCTACATGAAATGATTTTCATGAATTTTCCTTTTTGTGAGTTAGAACATTTGGAAAATAATGAAAGGAGTCAGATACCTGGGAATGGAAATTAACAAACAAACTGGAGCTTATTAGTCACTCTTGTTTGGGGAAAAACAATGAATTGATTTTTAAGCATGTGGAGTTTGTAGTGATAATGGCCTGTCTAGGAAGTTCACCCTTCCAAGTTATTTTAAATCATACATTTAAGATTTATATGAGAATTGTGTCCTAACTTCTAATTTCCATTGTTTTTAGGATCTCCATGTGATCCTACCTTCCTTCTGTCCTGTGTTCCCTGCAACGTGATCGCCTCTGTCATTTTCCAGAATCGTTTTGACTATGGTGATGAGAAATTTCATACCTTGATTCACTATTTTCATGAAAATTTCCGACTTGTAAGCACTCCCTGGATACAGGTAAGATCCAGTTCTATTTAAATGTGAAATTATCATTGGATCCAAGTCCATCTGCTCACTACTTAAAAGCCAATACTTGGGAGATAAGAGTTGATGGGAAGGAAATCTGGTTTACTCAAGGGATACCATCCTGAGAAAATGGAGGTGGGGGGCTGTGATACCTTAAAAATAAAGAATTCATACCCCATTTGAATCAAATGTATGATATGTCAAGATCATTATAATGTTTTGAGCAACTAATAAAAAAATGAAAAAAAAAAGTTCATCCTAGAGAACTCTGGTGCAAAAAGACTTTCCTGAGCAGGAGAGGGGATCACAGACTTCAAGGCTACATGCCGAGTCATACATGCAGGTTCATTAACCATCTGCCTCCCTTAGGGGTGTTTCCTTCTGTTTTACTGGAACATCTTTGTGGTAATAACCAACTTGCATCTCCTAGGCCAGTCCTTAGAATTCTTTAGGCAGACACTTTATTTTCCTGCAAGTTAAATGAGATTCCACTTTTTATTTAAGGAGCTGGATTAGCAAATCTTTAGCCCATACACTGATGTTCCAGATTCTGAAAAACTAAAGAAAGAGAACTGGTTAGAAGGTCTTGGAACCTGTATTTTTCTTATTCCTTTTTCTTGCAATAGTTGCCTCCAGCAGTTCAGTCAGTCACTTAAAGATGGTTTTGTTTAGAAATCATAATGCTGGGCAAGGGAATAGACAAAGAACGACTTTTGAAGGGACAGTTTTCAAGACAGGGTGAAATATGACAAAATGACGTAGCCATTATTGCTGCTACAATTCCCCTGTAGTCAATCATTCAATCATTAAGACACTGAACAGGGGAGAAGAGCAAAAGGCAACTTTCACAGAACAGTTTTAACCTGTTAAGTGGCTTCAGTTTCGGAACCTTCGGATAGTGGGAGATGAATGATATCACCTCCAGAATTCACAATTTTTAAAGTGGATTATAAGTATGTGGAGCTAGAGTGTTGATTTAGGTTTTCCTTCAGTTACAAAATAATTTTCTAGCTAATTTATTGCCCATACCTACCTCATCCCTCGGCCCTATTTCAAAATGGCTAAAGTGATGTTTATAAAGCTATTATTTGTAAACTGTTTGTGAGATATGAGGTTAATTTAATAGTTCAAATGAAATTTATAACATGAAGTAAAACAGAAAGAAAAATACAGTAATAGAGTAATTCATTTTAGAAAATTCATTTGAGAAACTTTTTTTAAAAAAAATCTATAAGTATAGAGCTTGATGATGTAAAATGTATTTCTTACTATGGTATGGTACACTGTCAAAAAATTCTAGTAGATTGTGTTGAACACTCATTAGCAACTGAAATTCTGTGTGGATTCATAAGGTCATCATATGCTCTATCTGGGAAAAATCTCAGAGAACAAGTAGCCTACCCCTTCATTTAGCATCCAGAGGTATTAAGTATTTCTGAAAGTAGCTTTGGCAAAACAACCAGTGAGCTACATCTGAAATCTAAATTTCTGTACATTTGTTAACCACAGACATTTTATTTGGGTCCTCTCCTTTAAATTCCATGTATGTTTTAGTGCAGGAAGTGGATCTTACTCATTTGTACTCAGCATGTAGCAGAGTGGGTGACATCTAATAAGGGCTCATAAATGCTTCTTGAGTTAATGAAGGATTTTTTTCTTCTTTCAGCTCTATAATTTTTTCCCTAGTTTACATTATTTCCCAGGAAGTCATAATGAGCTCTTTAAAATCATTGCTAACCAAAAAAAGTTTATTATGGAGAAAGTAAAAGAGCATCAAGAATCTCTGGACATCAATAACCCTCAGGACTTTATTGACTATTTCCTGATTAAAATGGAAAAGGTATAATGTGACTCTGTCTTTATATCTCATGCTTGTGGGTAATGTCACTCAAAGATGAGCTTTGTTTTTCCATTGCTTGTGCAACCTTCTGTTAATGCAAATCATTGAGTGTCTTGCGATATTTTAAAATTCTCAGTGGTGAAATGACATGAAAGGATTTATATTTACCATGATAAAGGCTGTTCTTTATTTGGGGGTGAATTGATACACATATACAGTCACATGTTCAAGACTGATGATAATGTCACTATTCATAAAATCACCTCCATGAGCCAGGGGTAGTGGTGCATGCCTGAAATTCTAGCAGTTTGAGAGGCTGAGGTAGGAGGCTCACAAGTTCAAGGCAGCCTCAGCATCTTAGTGAGGCCCTCAGCAATTTATCAAGATCCTGTCTCAAACTAAAAAATAAAAAAGGCTTTTGGTGCACCTCAGTGGTAAAACACCATTGGGTTTAATCCCCAGTACCAAAAAACAAAACAAAACAACCAAACAAGAAACCATCCATGAATGGAAGGCCTAACAATTAGTTGGACACAGGAATAGATAGAAATCTGGGGAGGCTTACCTTTGGAGAGATTGCAGGAGACTTCACAGTTGAGGTAGGTTTTGAGGAAACTCTGCCTTAGATTAACAGGGAGGGTAAAATAGTTCCAAGGAATGATAATTGTAGTGGTTAAGTGTGTGGAAATTTTGAGGAGGTAAATTTAACTTGATTTTAACTGAGAAATGGTGGTGGGTATGATGACTGATGAAATTGAGAATAGTGATGAAGTTGGGGTGTGTGTACCACTGGAGGTCTGAAGGGTAGATTTCGACATGATGAAACAGACAGGGAGTAGCAGTGGATGACATAATAAAAATTACGTTTGCAAGACATTACGGGGTAACTGATTTACTCTAGTGGGTGGGAAAGTGAGGACTTAGAAGTTTGTAACTGGTTTTATTTTAACAGTTTAAGGGAATTCTAATATTCTTCTTTCTTCACCTTCAGCTATAGCATGAATGTCTGCCTTAATTTACCAAATACTTATGTTATATTGAATTATTTTATGTTACCTGGAAGATATTTTATTTACCAAGAAACTATCACACATCATTTCTAGGAAAAACATAACAAACAGTCTGACTTTACCATGGACAACCTGATCGTCACCACCTGGGATCTGTTTAGTGCAGGAACAGAGACAACAAGCACCACAATGAAATATGGACTCTTGCTCCTGTTGAAGCATCCTGAGGTCTCAGGTATGAGCACAGATGACAGGCAGATTGAAGTCCAGGTAGGTATTAGCAGACAACACTGTTCCACTGTTTACCTGCATAGATAATGTGCTAGAGATACTTTCATCATTTGTACTTTTTCCTACCACTGGATGGATTCAATTGAAATTAGATCACTGGAAAAAGAATGAAATGTTTAAACAACACAGATCAGAAGGGCCATGGTTGTTATTCTTGCTATGGTGCAGAATCCTTGATTTGGTTTGGGACAGATGCAGTAACATTTGTCAAAGGATCTGGACATCCTATAAGTAGTTTCTGACCACTTTATATGACCCCTTTGTTCTAGATAAAACTCCAACTCCCAAACCGAAGAGATAGCCTCTTTCTTTCTCTGCAAAAATAATACCCAACACACAGTGCTCTTTTGAGGAATTATACTGTAATGAATTGTGCAGTATGTCTGTCATATATTACATTCTAAATAAATGTTAATTTTCTTCCTGTTCCCTTGTGCTTAATCAACCAAATATCTTATTCTGTTCTTCTCTTTATTAAGCATTTACTGCACCGAGTACTTCTTAACCTCTTGGAATTTACAATAATATTTATAATAAACGCTGGCACACACAAAGTGGTAAACTACATGGTTTTTAATGACGTTTTAAGATTCCAGATCTTTGAGTCTACACAAAATAGAGAATCTGGTTTGAAAGCTGAACTTTGTTGGACAATTATGTTTTATATGTGTATATATTTAGGTAATTAATTGACATCTAATTCCCCAGGAAGTTAAAACTTCTATTTTTCCCTTATGGAGGTAATGATCCATAATTTCCCTATCTTCCACCACAATGATTAAGAAATCAAATAAAAGTTATTTCACGTCTTTGTCATTTCATATAAATTATCATTTCTTCCTCTCCAGCTAAAGTCCAGGAAGAGATTGAACGAGTGATTGGAAGAGACCGCAGCCCCTGCATGCAGGACAGGAGCCGCATGCCCTACACGGATGCTGTGCTGCATGAGATCCAGAGGTACATTAACCTCGTTCCCATCAACCTGCCTCATACAGTGACTCAGGACGTTAAGTTCAGAGAATACGTTTTTCCAAAGGTAAGAGATAATTAATCTGTGCTTCTCCTTAAGAACCTTAGGCTGTCAACGATTCCAATGTGAATTTCCTAAACTTCTAAGGGAACTCAGGCATCTCACCCTCTGTCCATGTGCTCCTTTCTTTCTTGTTTGTTGACACATTTTCTAAATAGAATAATGGTAGCAACCTCAGTATACTGATAGCTCCACCCTCTGCCTGGTTGTTAGTGCAATCTGCTTCCTTGCTCTCCCAGGTATGTTTTATTATTCTTGCCAATTAACCCGTGTCTTATATTCCCATCTCCCTCCCTCCCTGCTTTCTGATTCACTTATTTATAAAGAGCTTGATCCAATAATCTCCTTCCTCCTCCCTGACTTGAACTATTGAACCCAGTCTGCCAGAGAAGACTCTGCAACCCAGCAGGTTGGTCTTATAATCACGAACCCACAATACATGGGTATAATATTCACCAATTCTGAATGTGTCTCAAAGGTACTCAGAAACCCTGTTTTATAACTTTACTCATCTTGGGTCACCGGTGCCACAATGACTCTTTTAACCTTGAATTTTCCTCAAAACCCCAACTCTCTACCAGCTCCTTTATTCCAGGTGACTTGGTCTTCCACCTGACAGAGGAAATCAGAGCACTGGGAGGAAGTCCCTCAATTCCCTTCCTCTAGATACACACACTTAGCTGCATCCACACAATTCTCTTTCATGTCTGTCACTGTGAAAGAAATCCCCTTTTATCTAAAGTAAACCCTTCTAAACTGCTGCATAGCCCCTTTCTCCTTACTTTTTAAAAAGATCTTTCTTAAATAATAATTTCTTCTTGCCTCTTCATTTTTTTCTTTTCTTTTTTCTTTTTTTGGGGCGGTGCTGGGGATTGAACCTATGGCCTTGTGCATGTGAGGCAAGCACTCTACCAACTGAGCTATAGCCCCAGCCCCTTCTTGCTTAATCTTCATCTTTTCCCTCTCTTCTGGCTCCTTTCTATCAGCAGTTGAACATACTCACATCTCTTACATCTTAAGAAAGATCTATCCTTAACTCTAATCCCTTTTGCTCAAACTTTTCTCAACCATTTCCTCAAATTCAAAATTCCCAGAAAAAGTGGTTCAGTGTAGCCATGTAAACATTTCCCAATTGATCATTTATTCATCAACCCACTGAAAATTATCTTCTGTTCTAGTGATGCTGTGTTCATCCAGGTCATAGATGGCTGCCATGTTATTAAATTTAGCAATTTAATAACAGGCCTGATTTTGCTTGGCTTATGGCAGTGCCTATATTCTTCTGGTTGTGTCACATTGTGATCCACCCACTTTCCACAACAGTGGCACAATCTCTATTTCTCATGCTAAGTATTTATTTTCAATATTCTTTATCTTGTAGAATGTTGAATAACATTTGTTGAATTCTAAATGCTGAAGATAAAGAATGATATAGTTTTGTCTGCCTGAAAATGTCTTTATAATTAGCTGTTAATCTGTAATTTTGTGGGGCAGGAAGGTGATTTATTTCTCCCCAGATGTTGGAGTTTGGCCAACAAGTGTCTAATTTGAGAGTGACCCAGAGATTCTGTAGAGTTCACATGTAGAATTTAGGGCTCTTCGTGTCTGGCCCTCTCTTTTCTGGGATTCAGCCCCTTTCTTTTCAGCTTCTGTGTGGACAGCATAGCTGAAGCATGTCACTAGTTCTTCAAGACAGTGAGACTGATTATTATAGTCACCCAATATCCGCCCCCCGTCCCCCACCATGCTTGCCCTAGAGGTAAAACCAGTTCCTTTGCATTTGGGATCACCCCACAATATATGTAGGTATATGCATTTATATCAGAGATTATCTGATAGGATTCTCTCAACTTTTCCCTATTAACATTTCTTTAACTTTGCTGACTTATTCTTTTGCAGTCTCCTTGATATTAACACTATCCAATAAATTTTAATTTCTGCTCTTTTCAACTTTATAATTTTTATTTACTTATTATTGTTTCTTTATAGAACTTAATAGCATATCTACTTTTATATAGGGACATAATAGCTACTATTTATTTCTTTATAATTATTCTTTAAATACTTGGGCACATTCATAATATCCATCTATTTAGATGTTCTTGTGTGATAATTCTAGGATATTATGGGGTCTTTTTTATTGACATTTTTCTTTATGGGTTACATTTAGATATCAAAATATTGTGAAAACTTATCATTATCATCATGGTAATAAAATCTCTCTCCTTGAGCACTTTCACATGTGGCAGTATGTATGTAAAAAGTTTTTTGGGCTGGGGGCGTAACTCAGTGGCAGAGTCATCACTTCCATTAGCAGGACACTAAGTTCAATGTCCTCCCTAACGTCAATTATAATAGACTATGGTGGGTTGTTTGCATTTTACTAGTGATGGAAATGTAGTACTGAAATGTTAGACAACTTACATGTGGTAACATAACTTCATTAGACAGAGGCAAAGATTCCATTGACTCTGAAAAATAAACTGAATGTCAAAGTTGGAAATTCTCTCTCCTTTCTAAAAGAATATGCCGCAATTCAATTAAAAGAACATACCAACAGGAGGGCATCTGTTTTAGTCAGCTGTTTTGCTACTCTGAGAAAAGACCTGACAAGAACAATTTTAGAGGAGGAAAAGTTTATTTGGGGACTCATGGTTTCAGAGGTCTCAGTCTATATATGGTCGACTTTATTGCTCTTTGCTTGAGGTGAGGCAGAACATTAAGGCAGAAGGGTGTGATGGAGGAGGGCATCTCAGGACTTGACAGGAAGCAGAGAGTGAGATTAAGATCAGCAGATCAGGGAAAAATATATATTCCAGCGGCTTTCCCTCAATGACCCTCCTCCTTCAGCCATACCTTACCTGCCTAGTTACCACCCAGTTAATCCATGTACTGATTAGGTTAATGTTCTCATAACCCACTCATTTCACCCCTATACTTTCTTGCATTGCCTTACACGTGAACTTTTGTGGTGCCTCATATGTAAACCATCACAGCATCCTTATCAGTTTCTCATCTTGATGGGAAATTAAATGTTTTTCAAGAATATGGGCATTCAAGCTACTGAGGTTCGAAGAAGACTTCAAGTCAGTTCTCAAGAAAATAAGCGGGATTTTCAGTGACATCAGCTCTGTTAGACAATATTGAAATTTATTCATCCAGAGCAATGCACTTCAGGGAGTTTCCTTGATCTTCTGCACAGGAAATGCTGTGTCAGACTACACCCTGCTGAGGATGGCCTTGCAGGCAGTGGACAGGGCCCTGGACCAGGCATTACATGGTTAAGACCTGCTGGGCTTGGCTGTTCATTTGTTATGTGACATGGAGCAAATAAATTCTCCTTTTTGTGCCTCCCACTCTCCTCCCTCATCTACAAGATCTATAAGAAGATTAGGTGAGGGATTTCTAATTGTTTTCAAGTCCCATGACTCATTTATAAACTAATTCATGTGTTTCTCTTTCTGAAAGGGCACAGAAATAATGGTGTCTCTGACCTCTCTTCTGTATGATGAAAAAGAGTTTCCCAACCCACAGAAGTTTGACCCTGGCCACTTTCTGGATGAAAGTGGCAACTTTAAGAAGAGTGACCACTTCATGGCTTTCTCAGCAGGCAAGCAAGCTCCATTTTCATGTGTGCACCAGGGGTCAAGTGAGAAGGGAGACTTCTCTGTCTCTGGCCTGCACGAATTGCCATTTCTATGAGGCCAGAGGCATGTTCAGGTTGTTAGGTTTTTCTCATTGGGTTGGAGGCTCTGCCCATTGATTCTGCTTCCTGACCCTGCAGAGATTCTGAAGAGCTCCTAGAAGACCAGTTCTACCAAGAATTTTCTCAGTTACCTTGAGAAGTCAGTTTAATCAATAACATTACTGAGCACCTTATGTGTAGCAATCCCACACTGAGATCCAGGGATACGAAAGTGAATAAGAAACAGATCTTCCCTCCAAGAAAGAAGAAGATTAATTCATAGGCAATGAAGCTGCAGTATGACCAATGCTATGCTAGAGGCTGCTGTGAGAGCATAGTGAGATGAGCTCCTGACTGGTCTTTTTGAGGCAGGGGAAGAGCATTTAGAGGGTAAGGGAAAATTTTTTTTTTTCAGGAAATAACATTTGAGTATTTTGTCTTAATTTATTTGTAAAGGTCTTTGTAGGAAACAGGTGGCAAACACTCAAAAATGTTAGTGGAAGGGTCTAATGAGGAGGCTGTTTTCGGAGGTGTGCACAGGACAAGGGAAGTGGCCAAGTGTGCTATTAGGGACTAGTATCAGCAAGAAGATGTTTCCATCCCAGGTTGGAAGGTGCAAGGGAAGGAGGGTGTCCCTGGAAACTAAATAGACATTTAGCCAAGATACAGTGGATGCTTAAACTGCAAATGGGTGTATTGGTAGATGAACAAACACAGTCACTGCCAGAAGTCGGAAGTGGGAGGGTGGGACTGAAGCACTAAGTACTCTAAGCTCTTTAACACCCAGTTGTACGAATTCTAAGGAACTGGGTCCTGGCTTAATACTGTCCCTAGAAGCTAGTTTCCAGGAAACAGATAGACATAAGGAAAGGAAGAAAGGGAAGAAGAGAAACCAGATTTGTGGATGAATAGAAGCCAAGCATTAATTATTCATTGATTAATATATTCATTAATTCTGTATTATTTAAGCCTCCTCGTGTGATAACTCAGAAATAGAATTAATAATTGATTTATGTGTCATTTTTAGGAAAAAGAGTTTGTGTGGGAGAGGGCCTGGCCCGCATGGAACTGTTTTTAATCCTGACCAGCATTTTACAGCATTTTACCTTGAAACCTCTGATTGATCCAAAAGACATTGACACCACCCCAAGTACAATTGGGCTAGGCTCTATACCACCCTCCTATGAACTCTGTTTCATTCCAGTCTGAAGAAAGGGAAGGTTGCCAAATTTCTGAAAGAAACCCTACAGCCTCATCTGAACAAGTCCCCCACCCTCCCAACGGCTGGTGTGTCAATCATTCTGTATGCCCTAACAGGAGGAATAACATCCATGAGCTCTGTGTCTTCTAATTTTCCCCACCCTTCAAAATTCAGTTCAAACTTCCTGCATAAGAGAAACCTCACTGTTGAAAATCTAATAAAATTCTTGTTGTAATACAGTTCTGAGATGATAAGCTAGAGTGCATCTTCAGTGTATACCAAATACAAAGAAACTTATAAATTAAATAGTTTATTTTAGTAAAAATTAACAATAAGAAATTATTCTATGATTTAAAAAATATTTAAAAGAAAATACAGAATTTATGCATCTCTCACTTCTATGTAACTCTCTAGGGGAATGATTTCTTGACAGTTTGTTCAATAGGCTTTTGTCTTTTTCCATGGTTATTAAATTATAATTATGTGTGCACATGTACATGTGTTTGTTGTACATGTTTATTCATGTATGTACAGGTATATGTATGTGTACGCATACAGGGAGGAAACATGGAAAGATCGTTCCAGTCAGAGGGAACAAATAACATGAAGTAAAATCTGAATTTGCCAGTTTGTCCAAGGATACCTTTTCTTTTTCCCTCTAATGTTAAACACTACCCTCTCATGCACATGGACAAATAGGACCTAGACAAATTAAGGCAAATGAGAAGGGAATATGTATATTTGGTGATATTTGAACACACAGAGGAATACTTACATATGTGTATGTTTAAGGTAGCTAGGATTTGGAGATGACATTTATATACTGTTATAGATATTTTTACAGGCAGTATGAATAAATGTCACTCATAATGTCACATTATCTGGATATTCCATAATTGCCAAAATTATTTCCCTATTCAAATCTATATAGTTATGTGATATTTAGATTATTTTTTGAACTGTTAATGTAAAAATGCTATGTGCACATATACTTTTATTCCTGTACTTCATCAGGGTGGTTTCCAAGATAGTAAATGACTGCACAATAGTGTATATGAGCTTTTACTTCAGAGATGGTGAAACATAGTGCATTAAATATTATAAAAGTGTTTACTTTTCTATTATGCATGTACCTAAGGACTATGTTGTTGTAAATCATGAGGATCTAATCCTTTGGTAGATTTAGTAATTTTTGGTTTCTTTTCATGAATTTTTTGAAGTAGAAAATTCTATCATGTGAAAACAATATTTCATTGCAATGATCAGAAATTTCTAGAAATAATGTCTTTATCTATGTTTCTGTATTTCTGTCCATGTCTTGTTCCCTCAGTGACTACACATACACATGCATACAAACATATACACACATATGTAAATTAACATTTTTTTTTGACAAATGTAAAGCTTTGTAGGAATAAGATAACAGAGTGATTGGAATAGCTACATGGGGAAATCTGATAATTTATGTGATTTTACCCTGGAAGTGATTGTGGATTTGAAATCAGGATGTAAAAGCTGGAAATGTTGACTACAAAATGTCACATAGAAAATTTAGAACTTGAAAGGAATTTTTGCCAGATTCTCAGGGATACAAGAAAAAAATGGAGTTTAGAGAACATCAAATAGGAAAGATAAATATCTTGACTTCAGTTGAATCCTGAAGGTTAGTATGAAAGTCAATATCTAATATTAAGTGTAGGCCTAAAGTTCAGGAGTCTTAACACCAGAGTTCTGGTTTAAGTAATTGTAATCACTGACTACATTGATCCACTCCTAAACATGCTTCTTAAACACATACTCTTGACTAAACAAAAGTAAAGTCATCCTGAGCCTCAGATTATCATGACATTATTTGATGTACAATGTGAAGCAATATTTGAAGAACTCCAGACAAACATGTGATCATGTTATATCTGATATGAGGCATAGACATCTTCTGCAGTTTCAGTTTTTGAAGATTTTTGTTCATCAGATCAACCCAAATTTTCTATATCTATAATTTGATTGTGAAATTAATAATTTTCTAATTCAGTACCACTTTCAAACTTTTTTTTTAAAAATCTGGTGATCAAAGAGACTTATGTTTAATTATTGTTTTCATGGATAAGAATACAGAATGGAAATATTGCAGTACAACAGACTCCCATGAAGAGTACTTGCATCCCCAGTTTGCTCCCAGCCAACACGGATCTCACCACCTAAGGGAAGACTCAGACCTCTGACCCTTCTTTCAAAGATGGAGTTTCTGGGTTGGGTGCTGTGGTACACACCTGTAATGCCAGAGGTTGGTGAGGCTGAGGCTGGAGGATAGTGAGTTCAAAGCCAGCCTCAGCAAATGTGAGGCACTAAAGAACTCAGTGAAACCATGTCTCTAAATAAAATAGAAACTAGGGCTGGGGATGTGGTTCAGTGGTTGAGTGCCCCTGAGTTCAGTCCCCAGAATCTTCCCCGCCAAAAAAAGAGTTTCTGTTCTCCAGTCACACTGAACCCTCACCATGCTCTAGTGCTCTAGGCATGGATATTCTACTCCAGCTGAATACCATGTTCCTCATGAGGATTCTCCCATTACCACCACGAAAGGAAATGTGAACATGGAAGGAGACACATGTGATTTCACGGAGAACACAGTTCTGCATAATGGGGCAATAAAAGCATGTGTGTATGCATAGTATGTGCACATGCAGATGTGTGAGAGGTTGAGTTGAGGTAGTAGGCATGTCTGTATGAGAGGGAGTGAGGGAGGGGGATGGGGAGAGAAGTAGGGAGGATTAAGCTCATTTAAAAAAACTTCCTTGGAATTTGAGGTCCCCTTAAGTTATAATTAATATTTTCTTCCCCTGATTCCTGCTCTGATGTTTATGGTGATTTCTCTTCTTTTTCTTTTACAACTTAAGAAATAATTTTCCCTAGATGTAGGAAAGGCCTTTTCTTTCATTTCTTTATTTCACCAGAAGAGTCTAGATAATTATCATCAATTCAACTCTAAACCCTCTGAATTGTGAAAATCAACAGTGACACAATCAAATCCATTACATAGTCTACTGATCCATCATCTACCAGTTTTATCTTTTGGAGAGCAGTGGAGCAGAAGAAGGGATTTAAGGGAGAAAGAGGAGGAAGGATGGGAAAAGGGAGAAACTGAATGAAATTGAGCAAATTATGGCCTGTAAATATATGACTATGTCACAGTGAATTTCACGTTTCTGTATATCTATAAAGCACTAATTAAGAAAAAAACTATGAATTAATAGGAGGAAGACCGGTAGAGTAGAAGAAGGGGAACTGGGGAGGGGGGATGGGAGGGAAAGGGGAAGTACTTGGGAACTGAAGTGGAGCAAATTACATTCCATGCATGATTATGTCAAAATGAACCCCAATATTAATGCATTATGAAAGCATAAAAATCATGTGACTTAAAAAATAATAACAGAAAGCTCTCCAAGCTTCTGAGGGCTCATATAGGTCTGGAGGCCTGGAGCTCAGCTCTCCTCTTATGAGCCCAACCTTTTAGTTTGGCTGAGGTTTTCCCTTGGTCGTCTTCTTGGACTTCCTTTGTGTGTATTCAGCTTCTCTTTTGTCTTAATTTGCTCTTTTTGGCAGAACACATACCCCCAACTGCCCAAAAAAAGGTGCATGGGAGATGTCATGGTTAATTCTGGGTGTCCATATGGCTGTATTAAGGGAAACCCAGGTACCTGGTAAGGCACGATTTCTGGGTATGTTTGTGAGGGTGTTTTCAGAAGGAAGGGCCATTTGAATCAGTGAACTTAATAAGGACGATTTCCCCTCGACCAACATGCATGGGCACCATCCCATAGGCTGAGGGTTTGGAGGCAACAAAAAAGCAGAGGAAAGGCAAATTTCTGTTGACTTTCTCATCTCGAGCATGGACACCTTCTCCTGTCCTTGGACAATAGAACTCCAGGTCTTCCAGACATGGATTTTTAGACTTGCATCAGTTATCCTCAATTTCATAGGTGTTTGACCTCAGATGGAATATCACTCCATCAGCTCTGTCAGTGCTCATGTCTTTGGACTTGGACTGAGTTACAGCACCTGTATCCTTGGTTCTCCAGACTGCATATGTTCTACTGTGGGACTTTTCAGTTTCCATAGTCATTTGAAAGAGACAGTTCCTGTAATAAGTGCCTTTCTATTATCTATCTATCATCATTTTGGTTATCTCTGAAAAACAGGAAATCAATTTTATGATATGTCATTATTTAGCTGAGAGTTGTCTGGACATAGGTTTCTGGGTTATAATTAGTTTTTCTTATAGTCCTTAAGCCTTATCTTTAGTGAATTCTAGTGTGCTGTACACCTTTTGGAAAGTTGTATTTCCGCCTGAATCTCGATCCTTCATATGAAACGTGCTCTTTTTTTTTTTTCCTTTTGAAATCTGGAAATATCTTCTTTCTTTATTTAACATTAACAAAGATTAAATGTATATCAATTGTCTTCCAATAACCCTTTAAGATAAAGAGCCCAATAAAAGTTAAAAGCAATTGATTAGAAATCTATATTTTCTAGCCAGTTGGTTCAGGCTCACCTCCTGTCTCTGCCTATGTGATTTTGAACAAGATACTTAACAAAGCCTGTCTCAGTCATTTGGATAGTAATTGGATATAATAATAATGTCATAGGCTGAATATATGATCCTTGAAACCCATGAATTTTTTTTTTAACTTTATAAGATCTGCCACGCGTTCAGCTCGGGCTTCATGAAAGAAGGTTCAGTTCATAAGAAATTGCTAGTGAGTTTTAAATTAAAGAGACAGACTCTCATTACCTTTAATACAGCTCTGAGATGGCTTCTCCTAGCTCCCACCTCCAACCACCTAATGGAGTGGCGAGGTTTACAGAAGAGACTAGCGAGAGAGGGAGAGCATGCCAGGGAGTGGGCTTTTATTGGGGAACAAAAAATTCCAGGGAAAATCCCATCCAATGAAGGTTAAAGAGGGCAGCATCCCAAGTCAAGGATGACGATTGGGTCTTCAGGTCAGTGGCCAGGCACACCTCTGCACAGACAAGCCCTCGGACCTGGGAAAGGGTGGGGAAGGCTCAGACACAGCTGTGTTTAAGTGCCTCTCACCCAGCCAGGGAGGTAACCTGGATGGCCTCCCACAATAAGATAAAACTGACATTGCAGATGTGATTATTTTCATTTACCAATTAAGAGGATTAAAAAGGATCATGAGATGGACAGATTCTACTGAATGATCCAGGTGGATCTAATAAATATAATCCCAAGATCTTTATAAAAGAAAGATAACAGGATATGAGGAAGGAGCAGATATGATGACTGAGGTTGGATTGACATGAGAAAGGGGATCCTGGCAGCCTCTGCAAGTTGAATAAGATAAAAAAATAATGGATTCTGCCTTGGAGTCTCCAAAAGGAACCATCCCAGCTGACAGAATCTTCTTATCCCAGGGGAGATAACATTAGATCTTTGAACCCCGAAACTATAAGATTTCTAATTTGTATTGAGTTAGTTGTTATATTTGTGGAAATTTGTTAGGGTAGTAATGATGACTAGTAAGTAAATAAAAAAAATAAAAAAGAAAAAAAGAAAGCAAGAAAGCAAAAGAGCAGAGTGCCAAAAGCAGGGTGAGAGGAATCAGAAGTTAAATGATGGGAAGGTGGTGGTGAAGGGAAGATTATAAATTTTAGAGTTGGCAGCATTGAGAAATTGACCTTCCATTAGGACTTAAGGCTGCCTGTTGTTCTACACTTTTGTAAACAATTAATTAATATATTTTCATTTACCAATTAAGAGGATTAAAAAGGAATACAATGTAATTTTCATTTGCACTTTTAATTTTCCTCTATTTCTTATGTTTTTTAGTTGACATGTAGTTCCCATACGTATTTATGGGATAATTGTGATACTGTGATACATGTATACATGGAAGGAGGATTAAAATCAGGCTAATTAATGTGGTCATTTTCTCAAATACTTGACCTTTCTTTGTGAGGAGGACATTTAATACCTCTTAAAATATGCAGCCCATAATTGTTACATGTAATCACTGTGTTCTTTATTAGATTATTAGAACTCACTTCTCTTGTCTACCCCAATCTTTGTGCCTTTAACTGGCTTCTCTTT